GGGGCGGGGCCTGCGCGGGGCGGGGCGGACTGCCTCGCCAGGCCCTGCCCCCTTCCCGCCTTGCCGCCCCCGCCCTGCTCCGGAGGGCTCCGGTCCCGCGCGGTCCTCCAGATTCGGGCCATACTGAGCTTTGCGGCCGCGAGAGCCTCCGCCGGCGCACGGCAGCACCTGGCGGCCGGGAGCTCACGTTATCGCATCACCCCGAGAAGGGGCCGGCTTGCAGGACGACAAAAGCTGCGCGGCCCGCCAGGGGGAGAACAAGCACCGAGGGCTGGGTGCCTCTCTCGCCCACTTCCCCCTGTGCAAGCTGGGCGCAGCAAAGAACGGGAGTGCCGGCGGTTCGGCGCGGATCCGGGGTCTCAGAGCCGGGGGCCACACCGTCCAGGGTCTGGCCGGGAGGACGTTCGAGGCAGGGGTCGAACGGAGGCCCCCGCCGGGCGCCACGCGGGGAGGGAGGGGGCGGAGAGGAGTCGTCCCGGCGCCGGGACAGGGACCCGACTCCCCAGCACGCGCCTCCTCCAGTCGTTCTTCGAAAGTCCCACGGGCAAAGCAACGAAACGTTTCCTGACCTCGCCAGGCTGGGACAAGCGACGGGAAGGAAGCGACGCGAGTTTTCATCAGAACCTCAAGCTGTCTTGGCCAGGCCCGGTGCCTGCGGCGCCTAGAACCTTCCTGCGCCCTCTCTTCCTACCCTGCGTCGAGGCTGCCCGGGCCCCCTCCTGCCCATGGCCTGGGGACACGTTTTCGCAGGCCCTTCTCAGAAAGACCACCTCCCCGCCTCAAAACGGGAAAACGGGAACCTCCAACAGAATCACTTGCCCTCTTTCCCTGCAAAGGGCTCCAGAAAGAGTCTTGGGAGACCACAAATTCACATTTTAATGTTAACAGTCCCCAGTTTCTCACCCTCTGCCACCGTAACCTAATTCTCCGTAACATGTTAGCGCGGGACCTGTGTGCGCTCACCTCCCACTGTGGACAGGGCGCCCCTGCGCCCTGGGCTTCTGAGGAGGGGGCACGGGAAGGAATGGGTTGTCCACAGGGCAGGTGGGCAGAGAAGAGGTTCTGGGGGACAGGAGGACGTAACCTAGGAGCGGACAGGGGCGACGGAAGAGAGAGGCTGAGTAAAGGCATGGAGTGGCCGCTGTGGGAGGAATTCAGCCGGTTTCAATGTTGACTCCAAGCTTTAATGGACAGCTTCCTTAGGTTCGCAGAAATAACTTTCAAAGAGATTGAAGTGCCTACCTTGTAATACCTTGTTTTTTCGTTATAATACTTTTTAAATGTTAGTCTATTACAATTCTTGATTCTATAAAGTTAAACGAATTGGAGAAAATAATTTTAAACTGTTCTACATAAACCAGTATGGGACTTAAGGAATTTATCATGGAAAGCAATTATAACATTAGTAGTAGTAATAACTTCACAGATGAGAGGGATAGCCAATTAATAAAATAGCCTTTTTCTTTCAGACATCAGTTTGAATATTCTGATCTACATAGGCAAATTCTAGAACTACCTGCCCCACCCCCTGCCCCCCAAACCCCATGACCATATCTCCCAGAGCGGGGCATAGAGAACAGGCTTCATTTGTGTGTCTGCCTGTTACAGGGCAGTGCCTGAAGACATCTGCATTGTCCCCAACCCTCAGGCCACCATCCAATCGCTAGTTATCAGCTTCCTGAAAACCACATAGGGAGGGCGTGGAGTAAGTGGGCTCTGGAATTAAACCATCTGGTTTAATTTTTGGCTCTGCCACTTACTATGGGATCGTGAGCAAGTTACTTAGCCCCTGTGTCTGAGTCTCCTCTGAAACATGTGAGTGATAAGGATAGTGCCCACAGGGTAGATGACGACCAAAGGCACTAACATGCAGACCCTGCTGAGCACAGCCTGGTGAACTGCCCTGCTAGCTGGATGAAAACGCAAACCAACACCGCCTTGCTGCCTCTCAGCCAGCTCTCTTCCTTCTGTCGGTGGAGAGTCCCCACCCAAGGCGCCCAGGCCTTCCTGTCCTCCTCCACAGCAGGAAGGAAGCTGGGCAACAAGGGGTTAAAATGGCTGAGAGGGGATTACCCAGAGAGACAGTGGGCAGTCCCCCACCAAAGCTGTGGGGGGGGCAGGCTGCAGAAGCCGCGGGAGGCAGGGTGGTGTCATGGAGTGAGAAGCAACTAGCTGGCTAATTTTAGTCTCAGGAACAAACTAACGATACCAGCAATAAAATAATAATAGTAAGTGCACCAGAGATCTCTTATCCCGCTAAGTAGCTGTGTGTTAGAGAAAACCGCGATGCTAACATCCTAGACAGAGGCTGCCACATTCTGCTGCGGGCTTCAGCCCGGCCTGTTGAGCTAGGTGGCCGAGGCCCAGACTATTCCCAGCTGTGGGGCAGATGGCAAAGTCTGTATTGTAAGTGGAGTGCTGAATTTGCACTTCTCGGTGTTATTATTTAGCTCCTGAGGCCTCAAGAATAAAGTGTAGAGGGTCTAGTTGCCTTCTGTTGATTAAATAGCTCTCTAAAGAAAAGGACCCCCTTCCAAGGGGGAACCCCTTCCAAGACAGGCCTTTCTTTTTTTTTTTTAAACTCATAGCAAGGCCACTTGTGAGGACGATTAATGAATGACCCGGAACCTACAGACTTGGTGCTAGGAACGTCCACTAAGAAGTCAAAGAAAGGGGTGTGGCTGTGAAAAGTGACATTTTGTAGAATGGGAAACGTGGAGGTGCCCCAAATTTTCACGCCAGTACTCACAGCTCTAAAGGCGGCTTGGCAGAGTAATATAAACCCTTTGCCTGGAAGGAGACAACACTAACACCACTAAGAGTGTCAGGTGAGAAGAAATCAGGCAGGAAGCCCCAGGTTTCCATCCTCAGGAAGGTTAGCAGAAGAAACCCAGGGTGCCTTTGAATGGTCTGAGCCACAGGGAGGGGGAAGCAGGTGGCCGTCCATCTGGACTGCACCAGTGTGGGCCCAGGGTCTTCATATAGAGAGCTGTGAGGTCAGTGACACAGATTCAGTTTTCCCTTTCTATTGGTCAGGATGCCACTTCTAACAGGTTGCCTCTGAATTTCTGGCCCTTTCCAAGCTGCCAGGCAGTTAATGACCTGCAAACACACAGTCACTATTTAAGCCCAGGAGCTCTGCACTGAGAGGGTACTTTGGGTTTTGTGAAAGCTCTGACTGTCTCTGGCATTCCTAAAAGCCTCCACACTTGTAATCCTCTGTGCCCTCTCAACAAAAATTAAATGTCTGAAATCTAAAAAGCAGTTCTCTGATGTACGATAAGATTATATTCAGGAACTTAATTTCTTAAGGGACTCTCGACAAAAGAAAAAAAGGTTTAATTTTGTTCTAGGAACATCAGAGTCATAGCTAACCAGCAAACACCAGAATGTTTAACCAATTTTGGGCCACACCTAAACTTAGTTTACTGGTCTCCATGGTGCTGGTCTGTTGCTGGGTTCATTGGCTTCGCCTCCTGCTGTGGTTTGGTTATAAGTGCAAGAGCTGCAGGGACAAACCCTTCCAGAAATGGCAGCACGAAGCAGAGGGCGGACAGGGGAGGGCAGAGTGGCTCTCGGATAACTGACAGGAGACCATTCTTCTAAATCACAGCGGGAATATCTGTTTTCCATGAACATGAATCACTAGCCATATTGATGACAGCAGAATAAACACCTCTAAATTACTTCTACAAACCATGAGCTTATATTTATGTCATTACTTTATATGGATCCTTTTGACTAATATCTAAAAACACTTCATATTATAAAGGTCATTCATGAAGTGATTACCCAGATTTGCACAGCACTTCTCAGTTTACAAAGCACTTTATACATACCTTGAGGCCCACAAAAGTTGTATAACTTGTCCAGATACGCTTTGGAAGAGCCAGGCTTTAACTCAAGTCCCCACTACAAGTCTGAGCTCTTAGCATCTGGCTGCTTGACACAGAGGTGCTCCTTCCCAGCCACCCAGGGGTCCTCACTGACCAGACATTCAATAGACAGGCTCAGGGAGTGTCTTTAGCTGTCTCCCTGGGCTTAGCCTGGGCCAGCAACACCATCTCCCACTCCAGGGGTGCTGGCAAAGCAGTGCACACATCCAGGTCAGTGCTGTAGCTGGCTCTCCCAGTAAGACCTGGGACATTGGTAGGAGCATCATATGGGGGAGCCAGACCCTGCCTGCTGTCTGTAGAGAAAGCTGTACCCCATGGTCTGCTGGCCCAGCTCTGGCCCACAGTGAACTTGGCCCAGGGGCTAGGATCCTGACAGAAGTATCCGGGAGCGAGAGTGGCTGGAAAGCAACAGTGAGCTAGTTTGGAGCTCCTGTTGACTGTGCGCTAACCCGTGCTGAGGGGTTGTACCTCACTTCCATAGCTGCCTATGACCCAGTACGCACTTTCTC